AAAGCACTAGTGAGATTCCCCCATGTCACATAGGGAAGAGCAAATCTTTCTGAGCTACAAACCACAAGTCCTAGTTTACAAGCAAACTCTTTTTGTTTTAAAGAAACAAAGAGCTCCAGCAATGTACATAGTCAAATGTTGCTTATTCTGCTCTAACACGATTTCTTCAGCAAATTGCACAAAATCTGGACAATACATATGCAGTAAAAGAAAAATATTCAGAAGCATGATATTCAGTGTACCTAAGATTTCCACACAAGTGCCTTGTATCTCTGAACCCTGATATCTTCCTCAACCCTGCCTCCACCATTTGCTTAGGCCTGCAAGAAATAAGCTTCAGGGCATTACAACAAGGACACAGAAAAATATACTTTGGTGATGCCTATCTTGTTATATATAATAAAAATGAAAAATTGGAAATCGTCAACATGAAGAGTTTACAGATTAGATTTTATTTAGTACCAAACAAAATAATTGAGACATAAATGTTTACACACATGAATGGCATATAGAATAGCCCAATGATGATGTTAAGCATTGTTGTGCATCCAGATGTGATTTCCCCCCTCAAAGCTTAGTGTTCCAAATGTTACTTTATTGCTTTTAGCACTTAGTAGTAACATCTGGCTTGGCATTTCACTTCAGCATAATTTAAACATTACTTACAGTCTCTGACTCATCATCCATGTGCCATTAGTCTTTTCTAAAATGATGTTTTTAAGAATACAAAGACAACCTTTTGATGAATCCTGTTCAAAATTCCAGGGGAGAGAATGATGCAGTAGAAAGAATAGGTGGGTTGCAAACAATTGTTTGTCATCTCACCAAATCTTCTTGCATTGTTTTGGCTTAACAATAAAGTAACCTTAAGGGTCATTGAATTCAGATTTGTGCTACACAAGTGGCAGTGAGTGAGGGCTCTGCCTTCCATATGCTCCTTATGTCCAGTTTGTCCAGTTTTAATCAACAACCCATGACCAGCAGGACGTTTTTTTGTGAGTCTGATGAGTAAACGCAAAACGCTGGGTTCGTTAAGGGCTAAACAACCCAGGCGATTATTCAACAATGATCCATGGGTGTGGCAAATCATTAACGTGTTAAAGCTTGTTATAGACAAACTGGACCATTTCCCAGTTCATGAAGGATGTGTAAACAAGTCCTGGTGGTAGTGGTGGTGATGTGTGTGTAAAATTTCTGTTTGTGGAATGGAGTTTGTGGTAGCACAAGTTTTGGGATTATAGCAAGTTTAAAAAAAAACTTGGGAGTGTTGGTTGTTTTCAAATGTCAAAGTTACGAAACAGAGACAACATAGGTAGTTTGGTGGTTAGGTGGTTTCTGGGTATGTATGGGCTGAGAGATTTTATTTTCCTGGGTTCCAAGATCGCTGCAGACGGTGGCTACAGCCAAGAAATTAAAAGACATGTGCTCCTTGGGCGGAAAGCCACGGCAAATCTAGACAGCATACTAAAATGCAGAGACATCACCCTGCCAACAAAAGTGTGTATAGTCTAGGCTATGGTTTTCCCAGTCGCAATGTATGGCTGTGAAAGCCGGATGATAAGGAAGGCTGAATGCCAAAGAACTGAGGCCTTTGAATTGTGGTGCTGGAGGAGACTCCTGCGAGTCCCTTGGACCACAAGGCAATCAAACCGGTTAGTCCTAGAGGAAATCAACCCTGACTGCGCTTTAGAAGGCCAGATACTGAAGATGAAAAACTCAAATACTTTGGCCACCTAATGAGAAAGAAGGACTCCCCGGAGAAGAGCCTAATGCTGGGAACAATAGATGGCAAAAGAAGAAGGGGATGGCAGAGGATGAGGTGGCTAGATGGAGTCACTGAAGCAGTTGATGTGAGCTTGAGTGGACTCCAGGGGATGGTGGACGACAGGAAGGCCTGGAAGAATGTTGTCCATGGGGTCGTGATGGGTCGGACACAACTTTGCAACTAACAACAATAACATGGGCTGAGAATACGTTGTACATCTCACTTGGTGAATATGTAGTGAAATGTTGACTCGACGACTTTGGTTGAACTTGAAAGTTTCTTGGTGGCTGGACTTGAGCCTATCTGTTTCTTTCTTTTTTCTCCTGTGCTTTCTCCTAAACCTATCACACATGACTATTATGAAGCCATGTGGAATTATTACTGTTCAGGATTTTGTAATTCACAATTGCATAGCAATCACAAGCTTTACATAGAAGGGAAATATGGCATTACTGCAAGTCTCCTTTTAGGAGAGTTACAATTTAAGTTGTGAAAACGTGCTGATTACTTTGTGTCATTTGTTTATGACATTTGCATACGAACCCTCAACATAAATTCTCTGGGCAGTTTACAATAGACAAATGGTGTTTCCAGATGGATGGCTTCTGGCACTACCAATAAAAAACATCGTGCAGCTATTCCATCTTATCCTGCTAGATGGTTTTTTTTATTTTCCTTGTAAGAAAAAAGCTGAAAGAATTAGTAAGAAAACATAGGACCATTGCAAACTGAAGATGACATTGTCTAGACCTCTTATAAACTTTTCTGCTTGCCGCAATGTCGTTTTACCCTTGCCTAGAAGCACCTAATTGTGAGCAACTTGCTTTGCTCTATTTCCATCTCAGCTCAAATATCTTCATTTTTCATTTAAATAATGTCTACTAGAAGAAGCCCTTGACAGAAGAAGTGTTATGACATATGAAAATGATCTTCCTTAGTCTGAGATTTCACATTTAAAAGAAATACTTCTAACCATTTTATACTTTGGAACTTGATCCTGTAAAGGGTTTCAGGAATCAAAGTATAAACACTCAGCTTAAGTTGATAAATTGAAATGGTCTTGCTGTTGAGCATTAGATTTGGCACTTGTTCAGCAATGGTTACAGAGCTGCGATATTTTGATCTCAGTGGGATCCGTGTGTACATAACTAGCACAAACTGAGAGTAATTTAGCCTGCAGAGTAAGATTATATTTTAGAATCAAGTGCATATGTTTTAAAATATGAAATATTTTTGCCATATCAGTTGTCAAATTTGGGTGGGAGTCAAAAGAACAATAATCTATCCCAGGGGTAGGGTATCATGTTACCCTGGGGCCTCTATCTTGTACCCACCAGCATGTCCTACCTCTCCCACTTACAAACAGAACAAAACCAAACCAAAACATTTTCTTACTGACAATTAGAATTCCTGTGGCACAGGTTTCTTTGAAGGCTGGAAACTACAGTCTGGGCTTTCGAGCAGGTTACCTGTCTTTTGCCACATCTCCCATGGCAACCATTTTGCAGTGGTGCCTGAAACAGTTTCTCAAATTGCCCATTATCTGGAAAGGCTGCTTCCCGCCTGGTAAAGATGGATTCCAGGCTATGATCTGGCTTGTGATTCCAAAGACCACAAATCTTTGGAAGGGTGTAACCACAGGTTTTACTTCACAGCTTTTACTTCTTCTTTTGTTTCTTTGAAAGCAAAGAATGCATATTGTAATGATTCTACAAGTGTGCATGTTTGAAGAGGCCAAGGTCTAAAATCTCCAATTCACATAAAACATTTCAGTAAAGTTAGGATTACATTACATGAGATGTTACCTTGAGATAACAGCACATAGAAGGGATCAGTACCACTAACTGGATGTAAAGGTGTTTCAGTTCTGGAGCTTAATAGAACTTAATCCCAGCCCTTTGTCTACATGTTCTTGACAGGGCCTCTGTTTTCATCCTGAAAGAAGTTACTGTGTGGGCAAAGATGTTATATAGTCAATGGTTTTCATGGATCCATCAAGAAACTCATTGGTCTTCTCACCAAGCTGCCTCCTTATTGCCACCACTTCCAAAGTCCAAGCATGAGGGGGCTGACAGTAGTGGTGCCACTACAAACCTTGTACTTCTAATTGGACAGAATCCTAACTAAACCAGCAGCATCCCATGCATCTGCCAACCTCAGCTTTCAGTATAGCCACATTCCCAGTACTGTTTGGAAGTGCCACTCCAACAACCTCTGTACCATGGCAAAGCATTCTGGGTCACACTTCTTGTTAATCTAAGGCACCAATATGCTGGTGCCACCAGGGACGTATTTACCTCTTAGACAACAAAATGTTGTGCTTGTTATTTTGTTTGCCTTTATGGCATGTGCAGGAAGTGTGCTGAGAATGCTTAGGCAATGGTTTTTGATAATGTTATCAGTAGTTCCACATTGGGATGCCTAATGAAGAGCCCACATCAGTCTTCTGGTCACGGAGAGACTATAAACTCCCCATTGCCTCCACTAGCTGGTATACTGAAAGTATCACCTAACAACTGCAGGCAGAGTACAGTTGATAACATTTTATTGGAAAATTCCATCCTCAGAACAAATTGCACATTGGAAAGTAATTGTGGTGTTTGAGAAATATGGTATGTACTAAAATAATACAGTATAAATGATATTGTTTCATTTCATATATTGTGTTTCTCTACTACCCAGTAGCTAAAGCTTACTGGAAAGTGGACCAAGATTAAAAATACAATACCACAACATTAATATAAAACCATATAGAACACACACACACACACACACACAATTTGAAGACCTTTTTATTTGATCAATATTTTAACATCAACCAATTTTAATTGTGTATGATTTATTTAATTTCTTTTAAATATTTCAGTTTTATGCTCAGTTCATGGAATTGCTAATTTATTTTGTTTAGGATTTAGAATAATTCTGTAAGCTGTCTAGAGACGACAGTGATGGACGGCCTATAAATTTCCTAAACAAATACATAAGTAAACAGTCAACAATTAAAAAAACAAACAAACCAGGACCTATTAAAATTTCTGCATAATTTACAAATAAACATATACCATAAAATCCATAGAATGTATTCTGCAGAATTCTGGAATATTTTGTGCGTTAAATATGTTAACTTACCTTAAAATATTTAGATGAACACACTTTTAACTTTTCTACAAACGTTTAACTTTTAAATATTTTGGTACAATTGTGTGGATTTCAGCTTGCTTCTCTTTCTTTCCAGGTCAGGATCGCAGTGAAGCCACTTTAATAAAAAGGTTTAAAGGAGACGGTGTTCGATACAAGGCAAAACTCATTGGGATAGACGAGGTTTCTGCAGCACGAGGTGACAAGTTATGCCAAGATTCCATGATGAAATTAAAGGTGCTGTGAACATTTTAAAATTTAAACATTACTGGAAGTAAAAGGAAACCATTTCAGATTTAATCTTTCATATGGCACTGCAAAAGATTGCAACTTATAAAGGCCAGATCATTTTTTAAGTGAAAGAAAAGACTTGGAGGACTCAAACTGTTATCTGAAACACGCTTCACAAGGAAGAATTTTGACGCCTCTTTGCTGGCACATGAAAGCCTTTTTGTTAGCTGTATCGCCCCTCTTCCTAGTAAGACTCATGGTCAGCCAGCGATATTTAACTACACGACCCCTACGCTATGGGCAAATGAAGCTTGTTAGATATGAGATGAATTTCCTTTGCTTTGAATCAGCTTCCTTTTCCCTCAGTGAGATTATCGTATAGCTAAATCTGGTTGGTTATATGATACTGTAGCTATTCCTGGGAAGAAAATGTAATTTGAGGAAGAAATAAGTGTTTCTGAGACTGATAAAGGCTACAAATACCAAAATTAGTGTATTTCCTGGATATATGGGCATCAGTGCTCTCCACAGGGAAAGGACAACTTTAGTTAGGAAGGTGAAGAAAAAAATCACTCAAAGATTCTAATTTTGAAATAGACATATTGACATGTATCAGATAGGATGATTACAATATGAAACTCTGTCTTTAACCAGGAAAAACAGCTTTATGCTTTGTGAGTTATCAGCAAGAGAGGGCCCTGGACCTCAGTGATGCCAAGTGCCTTCCTGTGTGCCTATAAAAATGCTATCTTGTGAAAAGGCTGCTCTGCTTCTTCTTCTGATGTGCTGGAGAACAAACCCAGAACGTTGCCACTCTCTTGGCATGTGTAGCCTGTGGCAGAGAGCCTGAGAGATAGCCAAGGAAAGGGTTGGCAGTTTCTAGTTGCTAATTTGCCTCCTGGCTCATTGTGGTACATCCAGCCTGGCCATCACATGCATCAGAAAGAGACAAGTCAGACGGAGTGCACTGGCCCCCTATTCCTATGCATGGAATAGAAACATAGAAACAGAGCGAGTCAGAAGGGGCCTCCCGGGCCATCTAGTCTGACCTCCGGCACCAGCCAGCTCCGCTCACGACATGCCCACCATGTGGACGTCCAGCCTATCCTTGAACACCCGCACCGATGGGGCCTCAACGACCACTCGTGGAAGCCCATTCCACACCCTCGGCTTCCTGACTGCCAGGAAGTGCTTCCTGGCATCCAAATGGAACCTTGGCTCCCTGAGCTTTGCTCCACTGGAGCGCATCTTGCCTTCCTCTGCAGGGGAGAACAGGTCTCTACCCTTCTCCATGTGACATCCCCTATATATCGCCAACATATCCCCTCTGACTTTCCTCTTCTCCAGGTTGAAGAGACCCAGTTCCCTCAGTCTCGCCTCATACGGCATCCCCTGCAAACCGGCCACCAACCTTGTGGCCCTGCGCTGCACTGACTCCAACCTAGCTATATCCTTTCTGTAATGAGGGGCCCAAAACTGAGCACAGTACTCCAGTTGCGGGCGCACCAGAGTCGTGTAGAGTGGTAGTAATACCTCTCTTGATCTAGAAGCCACACTTCTGGCTATGCAACCAAGGATGGTGTTTGCCCTCTTGACCACCGCATCACACTGCTGACTCATGTTTAGTCTGCAGTCAACCAGTACCCCGAGGTCCCTTTCACAAGTGCTGCTCTCCAGCCACTTATCACCTAACCTGTACTTATGACAGCTATTCCTATGCCCCAAGTGCAAGACCTTACACTTATCTACATTGAATGCCATCCTGTTGTCGCCTGCCCACTTCCATAGTCTGTCCAGATCCTTTTGGATCTGGAGTACCTGCTCCTCAGTTGTGGCCACTGCTCCAGTTTTAGTGTCGTCTGCAAATTTGATCAGCAGACTGTTCACCCCTTCTTCCATGTCGTTAATGAAAAGATTAAACAGGATCGGCCCCAGGACAGAGCCCTGGGGGACCCCGCTTGTCACTGGCTGCCATCCCGATGATTCCTCGCTAATGGTTACTTTCTGCTTTCGGTCAGTCAACCATGCCCTAATCCACTGGAAAGTACTTTGGTGTATCCCAAAGCTCCTCAGTTTTTCCACCAGGATATCATGGGGCACTTTGTCAAAGGCCTTGCTGAAATCCAGATATACCACATCCACTGCATCCCTTCCATCTAGCCATCTTGAAACCTTGTCATAGAATTCCACAAGGTTTGTCTGGCAGGACCTGTTTTTGCGGAAGCCGTGTTGTGTGGCTGTCAGCCTCCCTTCCCTATCTAGCATCACTAGATCTCTCTCTATTATGAGCCTTTCCATTGTTTTTCCTACAATGGACATAAGGGTAACTGGTCTATAATTTCCCCTGTCCTTTCTACTACCCTTTTTGAAACTTGGGACCCTTTCTCTTCCAATTTACATGCTGAAAGAAGCCCTTTTTGTTGCTCTTGATATTCTTGGCAAGTCTCAGCTCGTAATCAGCCTTAGCCTTGCGAAGAATCCTTCTGCAATGGGCCTCCTCCTCCCGGTATACCCTTTTGTCTATTTCCCCCAGTACCCATTTCCTATAGAGGTTCCTCTTTCGTCTAATCCCTCTAACCACCTCCTTTCGCATCCATGGCAGCACTCTCCTCCGCCTCCCCACCTTACTGACTAGAGGTATCGTCAAGGCTTGCGCCTCCCTTTTGAGTGCTATCCACCCCTCCTCAACTCACTTACCTTCCAGTAACCTATCCCAGGAGACTTTCCTCAGTCTGGCCTTCAGTTGGCCAAAGTTGGCCCTCTTGAAGTCCCAGCTTCTAGTGCTCGACCTGCTGCACGTCCCCAGTCCCCTGATCTCAAAGCAAAGGATGGAGTGATCACTCGCATCCAGAGCTCCCCTGATCTGTACCCAATCTATCAGCTCCTCCCTGTTGGTCAAGACCAAGTCAAGGATGTTTCCCACCCTCTTCACCTCTCGGACACTCTGTGTGAAAAACCCTCCCTCTATAGCTTCTAGGAAGCGACATGACCTGGCTGTCACCGCCGAGTGAGTGTCCCAACTAATATCCGGGAGATTGAAATCTCCCATAATTACTGTGTCTCTCCCCTGAGATATTCTTAGAATCTGGTCTGTCAGGAAATCATCCAGGGTCTCAAGTTGACCTGGAGAGCGATAACATACCCCCACTGTCAAGTCTCTTTCCCTGTCAAAACCCCTAAGTTTCACCCAGACTGCCTCTACCGAATCCCCATCTGTGCTGCATTCTATCTCACTGCATCCTATCCCTTCCCTGATGTATGAAGCCACGCCCCCACCTCTCTTTCCCTTCCTGTCCTTTCTAAAAAGGTGATACCCTTCTATGTTCACATTCCAGACTTGCCTTTCATCCCACCAAGTTTCTGTGATTCCCACCAGATCATACCCTCCTATTCCCAGGAGAGCGTCAAGCTCTTCCTGCTTATTACCCATGCTCCTAGTATTGGTGTACATGCACCTCAACTCCTTCCCACCGCTTCCTTTCCCTGGAGTTCCCAGCCTCCTCCTTCCTCCCATCCTGCCCAACTGGCCCATCTCTGTAGGAGTCCTGTCAGTCCCTGCAGTATCTCTAAAACCCTGCTCCCAGAGCCCTGATCCTCCCCCCACACTTGTCCAGTGCAGACACGTTACTTGGGGGCCTGACCCCCCCCCCGGCTCAGTTTAAAGTCTTCCAGACGAAGCTCGCTAGAGCATCTCCAAAGGACCTTTTCCCCATCCTCGTGAGGTGTAACCCGTCCCTTGCCAGAAGTCCATTGGCAAGAAAACGAGTGCCGTGGTTGAGGAACCCAAAGCGTTCCTTCTGGCACCACGCCCTAAGCCAGTCGTTCACCTCGGAGGCCCGAGGGCAAGTGTATCCCTGCTTCTCCTGGGGGAGAAGGGCGAACATGTCGCAGCTCTCGCAGCGGACAGCAACACCCATGACTCCCACCAAGGCCATCTCCTGGTCTGCCATCGGTATCCCTCCCGAGACCTTACCGTGGTCCCCTGCCTTGTCTGTCCTGCAGTTCCTCTCACTCGCCCAGTTCTCCCAGACCAAAACCCATACACACACAAGGATAAAATAAACTTAAATTGGAAGAAAAACAAAGCAAAGCACAGCACAGCACAAACAAAACAAGCAAACTAACAAACCTCTGTGTCTCAGGGAAGGGAGTCTCCGGACAGCCCGGGCCGCAGCTAAGGGACGGAGACAAGGGATGATGCCTTATCAGTCCCTCCGGCCGGTGGCCCCGCCTGTCCGCTTCCTCCTGGCCCCTCTAGCCTCTCTGGCCCCGCCCCCTTCCTCTCCGCTGCTCCTTCCCTCCACTCCCCTGCCCAGCTCCTACCTTGCCTTCGCCAATCCCCTGGCCACTCAGCGCTCTCTCCCAGCCTCTGCCTCTGCTGCTCTGCCAAGAGGCCAGAGCCAAAAGGATTGCCTCCATTAAGTTGAGCATCTCTATTTTATGTATGACTGGAGAAAATACTTTTGAAAATAAATGTACAATGTGAAGTCTTTTAAGCATGAGGCATTGTACTCCTTCACCTGTGTATTCACACTGAGTCTTATTTCTTTTGAATCCCATGCGAAATTGCTTGATTGTCTTTGGCTGTTTCCTGGTGAATGTTTGCAGGTTGGTTTATATACAGAATCAAAACGTTTTGCTACACATTCCATTCTTCTTACTCCTTTTCCTTTACTTCAATCATTTGCTTCCATGTTCATAGATAAAGCAGTATGTACCATCACACTGCCAGCCACATTTCCTGGCATGCAAAGTGCCCCAGCCCTCCCACTAGGTTAAGAAACAAACACAGTCCAAAAGAATCCGTTAGCACGTTGGGACTGAGATCAACCTCTGCCTTGTATGCAGCCTTTTCAGCACCTTACCTATCTTCTGACACACCTTCCATGGCAGCCATGCTGCAGTGGTATCCTAGGCAGTTCATCCAGTTTCTGAATGTGCCTGTGACCCAAAAACTTTGCCGATCCTTGCAATAATGTTTGGTGGTCTTCTGAATGGGAAAACTA